CCACGTGGCTCGTGGCTTACCAGCATCTTCACATGCTGCTTGTCCTGGCAGTGGCTGGCAGCATCTCCTTCTGCCTTCCTGTTCTTTTATTTCTCCTCTGTTAGTCCCGCCTATACTTCCTGCCTAGCCACGACCAATCAGGTTTTATTTATTGACCAATCAGAGCAACTTGACATACAGACCATCCCCCAGTACAGCCAAGTGTAGACCATCTCAGACACCTGCACTCAGGCCCATGGTCCTAATCATCCTCTATGCAAACCTGCTGGGTAACGCCACAAGGAACCCAAGAAGGGCTCCCACAGGACATACATTAACATCCCACAGAAGGGGCCACACACTTTAGCTAAAGACACAGAGAAATCCATTTCAAAATCACTGGAAAATTAGCTTCCTGATGGCTAGCTTCTATAGTGCCAGAATGGGATTGGGGATAAAAGGCACCCATGTACTCACCCAGTGCTGGAAACTGTGTGCTCCAACACTGACTTTCCAGACAAGATTTGCCCACTGTTGCTATGGCTGCTTCACTATTATGAGGTAACTAGCTGCTTTCTTAGGGCATTTGAGACCTGCCCAACATAAGGGGACTTCATGCTTGGTACTGCAACCATAGTCAAAGGTTCATGGTTTAAAAACCAGGGATTTATTAAAAATACTTTATGGGAACTCACATCTTAGGTGGTTTCCAAATACAACTTAAAACAAAGAATTCAAACAGAATTACCCAGCATACATCGACAATTTCACTCCTGCAAAACATGGGTTATTAAATGAAAATCAGAGTGTAAGAAATAAGACACCTCACCTGGAAGTACTGGCCAGGAAGGCCTCAAGAGCAGGCCTTTAATCTCTACACACAGGAATCAGAATCAGGTGGATATCTGTGAGTTCGAGGCCAGCCTAGTCTTCAGAGCAAATTCCTGGATAGGCTCCAAAGCTACACAGAGAAACCCTGTCTCAACAACACCCAACCCCACAACAGCCCCCCCCCAAAAAAAGGAAAATAAAACAAGATAACAAATACCTTTGCCACTGTCCTTGGTTACCCACCAAAACTTCATGATAAAATCCTAATGATAAACATACCACACACTTTAGCTAAAGACACAGAGAAATCCAATTCTAATCATCGGAAAATTAGCTTCCAGATGGCTAGCTTCCATAGTGCCAGAATGGGATTGGGGATAAAAGGTACCCATGTACTCACCCAGTGCTGGAAACTGTGTGCTCTAACAGTGACTTGCCAGACAAGATTTGCCCACTGTTGCTACGGCTGCATCACTATTATGAGGTAACCAGCTGCTTTCTTAGTGCATTTGAGACCTGCCCAACATAAGGGGACTTCATGGTTGGTACTGCAACCATAGTCAAAGGCTCATGGCTGGGAAGTTCAAGGTCATAGGATAGAATCTGCTATTGGAATTTTTCTCAAAAGTGATGTAAATTTGCCTTCTAAATATTTCTGCTTATACCCATAGATTGCTCTCCAGCATGGTCACATAAACCCTTTCTGAAGTGGGCAACAATCACTACAAAGAGCAACAATTTGCCAATGAGCAGAGAATAAGTGTTAGTAAAAGCAAAATCCCAAATGTACAACAATGCCACTTCCCACACCTTCCAAATCTCATGGAACATCACAGAAAGAGGAAGCAACAAGAACGAAAGAGACAGACAATGTGGAGGAGTGCTCTAATGTGCTCTCTTCTGGACAGGATATGGGTATTGCACCCATGAACTCACAGCACCGGTGATTACCAAGATATCCAAATAAGAACAAGCCATCCAGAACTTTGGCATAGATAAGGGAGAGTGTTCTCCCTGTTTTGCCTCTTAGGAGGAGCAATTGGCACTTGGTAACTGTTGGAGCAGCATGTTCTGTTAATATTCTCAAGGCTCTAGTGAATAGCCTCACATCCAAGCTCATATGAACAGCACTCATCCAAGCTCATATGAGCAGTACTAACTGGACTTAGTGAATTACCACATAACAAAGACATAAAATGGGGAAGGGGAAATACTGGAGAGGAAATCGGTGCTGATTGAGGACTTAAATAACAGAAAGATGTGGTCATATTTCACTGTATATACACACAAAATTCTCAAGAATAAAGAAAATATATTTAAAAATACAATACCATGTCATCCCTGACGTTATGAGCTTCTAATACAATCATTATCTTGATTAAATGACTAGCAGACAATATTGTTGCTATAAATTTTGGATTATGATCTCCTAAGGATATGTGCAGTAAATGCTTATTTCCCCATTGTGGTGATATTTGGAGTACTTGTACCTCATGATAGTCCTTAGGTCAATTGGGTTATGGCCTTGAAAAGTGTCTTACTTACATTTTTATTGTTGTGATCAAACATTATGCAAGATCCTTCAATTTCCGAAGACATACATTAAATAAACGTTTCTTTAATTTTAAAAAAGCTTATTATATGCTGAAAATATGTATTTTGTACCACTCTCCAAGTTTGAAGTTTGGGCGTTTAATAAAAAAGATTAACATATATATACAAAAATGTACAGATTATATTTATACAGTGTTCTACTAATTTATACATACAAAATGTGCTTTTTTGTGGACAAACACTCTAACCCTGTAGAAAACAAAACATTTGGGCCAAGAAACAGACGACCTTAAACTACAGTATGAATGAACATATAATAGAATGCTTTCAAGCTCTGGTACCCACTTAAAACTGGCTTCCGTTTGTGGAAAAAAAAATAGTATTGGGGCAGTATCGAGTGTAGAAAATACTGATTTCAAATCCTTAGCAGATCTGTCTGGCATTATGCTTAATTCCTTGTGGTGGGAATTACAACAGTCAGTAACTTGTTCGTTAAGAGATACCCAGCATTTTGTGAGTCCCTCAGTTGCCAAAACTTCTGAGTACAAATCAAGCCTTTGACAAGGTTTATCTATCATCCTCTTTGAATACATTTTTTTATCAAGGTATCCATTATACATGCCATATCTTCTCCATGTAGTCCAAGTAACCATGGCACTTTTAGAGTTAAAAAATGTTGATCTTATTATCTAAATTATGTATAGAGAGATCACATATCTTAAGACAAATTACGAAAAGTAAAAATATTCATAGGACTTTGTAGTTTTAACTATTCCAAATGAATTTTTTTGTTCGTTTGTTTTTCAAGACAGGGTTTCTCTGTGTAGCTTTGGAGCCTGTCCTGGAACTCACTCTGTAGCCCAGGTTGGCCTTAAACTCACAGAAATCCACCTGCCTCTGCCTGCCGAGTGCTGGGATTAAAGTTGTGTGCCACCACCATCCAACCCAAAGAAAATTTTAAAACTTATAATATGCTTTGGGGATACATATAAAATTAAACACTCTGAATACATCTGTGCGATCAAACCATATACTAGAACATCTCAAATTGTTTAAGAAAGAGGCAGCATCTGTTATAAGTGGTGTAAATTGTTTGAGCTTACAGTCATCTACTATCATTATGAAGGATAAGCTTTTACAGGCATTTCATAGTGAAGTAAATGAATATCACTGCTGCATTCTATAGTCCTACTAGAGTAGCAATAATCTGAGGTATATTTTTGCATTATGCTCTACACTTTCTAATTGACTATTTTTTTGTGTGAAAGTCAAAATAATGTGTTAACATATCTTAAATGCTAGGATATATTGACTGCCTTTGAGTGTACTTTTCCTGTGGAGATGAACCAACATCATTTCACTCCTGATAGGTCTCAAGAAGAGACCACAGAAACATGTTAACTCAAATATACCTTGGATAAACAATGAGTTAATTAGCATTCCTTATACAAATGTGGGTGAAAGGTCACTTACAGGAAGAGAGGCAACTAATCATTGGCTACATCACTGAAGGAAAAACCCATTCCTTCATCAGCAACCATTAACTATCTCTGTATATCCTTGGAGAAGTCTATGTCCTTATGAGACCTTTCTTCTTGTAATCATTAACTCCATAAATCATCAGAGATGCATGACTTCATGACACTCTCATGATGAGAATTTAATTTTTTAAACCTCAGAGCCATAAATTCTCTCTCATTCTGTCTGTCTGTCTGCCTGTCTGTCTCTGTCTCTGTCTCCCCTCCTCTCTCTCTCTCTCTCTCTCTCTCTCTCTCTCTCTCTCTCTCTCACTCTCTCTCTCTCTCTCTCTCTCTCTCTCTCTCTCTCACACACACACACACACACAGTATTTAATAAACTCATTTACCAACATTAGTCTCATACCTGAGAATCTTAGAACCCTGTAGTTGCTTGGTCCTTGAGGCTGCAAGCCTGAAAAACTGGAGTTATACAGTGCCTGTCTTATACTGAAGAGGCCAACAATTGGTGCCTCAAAAGTCCCAATCTGGTGCAGGAAACCTTGAAGTCTCCCAGAGAGCTACTGTTTCTTAGGCAATGGTAGAAGCCTGAAAATGCTGGTCTTGGTACCAGTGAAGGAATAAAAAGCATCAGCAAGAGGGTAAGTCAACTTGGCAGCAAGAAGAAAGTTCAACTTTTCAAGAGGCAGAGGCCAAACAAGCAAAATGTGAATAATCCTCCTTCTGCCATGCATTTTCTAATCTGGGCTGCTGCTTGAAGGGACCACCCACCATTGGTCTGTGTCTTCCCATAGCAGTTAAGGCAATCAGGACAATCCTTCAGTTGAGGTTCCTTTCTCGGGGGACTCAAATTTGTGGCAAGTTAACATTAATATCAACTGTCACAAATGTACATTATTTTCAGAGTAATGTCATTTCTTCCTATTTCTTAGTATTATATAAAAATGCCTCCCTTGTATAAGCATGTAAATGTCAGAGAGTGAGCATAGGCAATTACTGCATATTTAACAGTCAAAATAAAATTGTTTTAAACTACTTTTTAAGTTTCATTATTATATCATTCATGTCACTGTTACATACATGCATTTCCATATAAGTAGATATTGTACAATGTAGATTTTGCACGTGACACTTTTACAATGTGGATTTTTACACCTTGCATATACTGAATAAGTACTTGTCTCCAATATGAACAACTGTAGTGATATATTGTGTACCCTACTAACCTTGCTTGGAGATGAGAGGACACAGCCAGCCATTAGATTAGACAGAAAGGCCAGACAATGGTGGCACATGCCTTTAATCCTATCACTGGGGAGGCAGAGCCCCATGTGGATCTCTGTGAGTTCAAGGCCACACTAGAAACACAGCCAGGCAATGTGGCACACATCTTTAATCCCAGCACTTGAGATTTCACGCTTTTGTTTGGAAGCACAGATATATTTAATCCCAGGAAGTGACATGGCTGGGCAGAGAAAGGTGTATAAGGCATAAGGAAAAAGGAACTAAAGCAGTTGAGCTGAGATCCTTTTAGGTGAGGACTCAGAGGCTTTCAGTCTAAGGAAACAGGATTGGCTGAGGAGTTGGAGAGGTGAAGTTGTCTATGGCTTCCTCTGCTTCTCTAATCTTTCAGCTTTCACCCCAATATCTGGCTCTGTTTTTTTTTTGACTAATATTTGGACAACAAATAACTTAAATCAATCAAAGGAAATTGAATCCTCTCACACTAAAAAGAGTGACAAAAATCTGGGGCTTGTTCTACCACCAGAAGGAGGAGGGGAGGACACCTGCTGCCTCTGTTTACCTTGTTGATGTCTATGAAAGGACCTGCCAGGCATTCCTTTGGTTCTGTAAGCCATGTTGATGCATGTGGTTCTTGTTTTAATGGGATAACATCTTGATTGCCATGACCTCCCTGTCCCCTTATGGCCATATTAAGGTAAGTGTACATTTTTGCCAACATGAGGAATGTAAATTTTCATGATCTGAAATACCAACTGAAAGTATGTTGATATCCGGAATACTTGGTGCTACCTCCATATAAATTGAATTCATTTATCCCTGCTGCATCTGGTAAACATGTGGATGTTCAGGATCCATTGTCTTATGGAATTTCTGGCATTACTAGAAGCCATGTGGATGCCTGTGGTCCTTCTTGCCAGTATATTTCACATAGATTTCCTTGAAATCTTGCCACCTGTGACAATGTTAATGTTAAGTGTTCTGTGCTCTCAATGTGAAGAACATTAATTTCCAAGAATTTAACCACCAACTGAAACTATGTTGATATACAGAATACATGGTGCCACCTCCAAACATGTTGAAGTCATTGATCCCTTCTGCCTCTGTTGGACATATTGGTGTTTATGATTCTAATTGTGATATTCCTAGTACATTTGAAATCCATGATGATGCCCATC